AAATTAGCACAGAAACAGTACTATATAACATTTTAGACACATTCTAGACAGTTTATCAGCTAAAAAAAGTTAATTTTGGGGTAAATTACTCTTTAAAGATCCTGTTTGTCTTTAGGTGTTTAGATAAGAGGCTTTGGGCGCGGATCGACCTGAGCATCAAGCGAACTGTTACTCCTCAGGCCCTCACAGGAATTATAAAGAGGCAGCCTGTCACACTCGACCTCTCCTGGACAAACATCTCTAAAAAACAGCTCAACTGGCTTGTTGGCCGCCTGCCTGGTACCCACACTTAATACTAATTAAATTTCAACATTTTTAGTCTCAAATAAATTCCTCAGCATTAACACGTGTGTCTCGTTCCTCAGGGCTGAAGGATCTGATGCTGTCAGGTTGTTCTTGGTCGTCTATTTCAGCTCTGTCCTCCACTGGTTGTCCTCTCCTTCGGTCTCTGGACTTGCGGTATGCAGATGGGGTCAAAGACTCACAGATCAGAGATTTAGTCACTCCTGCAGGTGAGTAGAGCTCTGCCTCAGACTGTTCTTTTTATTCTTTGTTGTCTTTTTGTGTTCCTTCTGTACCAGTCTCTCATCAAGCTGTTTATTATTTGTCTGTGTTTTCTCTGATTAAAATCAGGCTGTGACAATCGCAGCCCATTGAGGAACATGCAGTGTTTGCGGCTAGCAGGTCTGGACATCAGCGACTCCACTCTGCGTCTGGTGATTCGCCACATGCCCCATTTAACGAAACTGGACCTCTCCCACTGCAACAGCCTCACCGACCACTCTGTCAACCTGCTGACCGCCGTCGGTTCGTCCACCCGAAACACGCTGACGGAATTCAACTTGGGAGGTGAGGCGACGGGTACAGCAAGATGGGGATGTAATTTTCAGGAGCAAACGGGCACATAAATCACATCAATTCTGCTTCAGCGTAGTCATCGTGTGTTTCTCTCTTCCAGGCTGCAGTAAACTGACAGATACGTGTTTGAAGTATCTCCGCCGCCTCTCCTGCATCTCGCTGCTCGACCTGCGAGGCTGCAAAGGTGTCTCAAGAAAGGCCTGCGAGGCCTTCATCTCCGAGTTGTCAGTCAACACGCTCTACTGCTTATCAGATGAAAAACTGATCCAGCGGATATCCTAGTCGCCGTGCAGCTCCTGACGCGACACGGAGGTATGGGAAGCTGTAGGAGGGGTGGGGTCTGACATGGAGGGCTTGCTCACTTATTGTGGAAATATTACAGCTGAAAGAATTCATCTTACTTTATTTCATCTTTGTCTACAAAGAGACTCAGGAGCTTTTATTTTGCTGTTTCATAAAAAAGAAGATAAAAAGCATATCATTTGTTATTAAGAGTGGGAGAACAATTAACTAGCTGTTTTAGACTCCTCCTCAGTCCTGAACCATCCCAAGCCTTCAGAAACATGAGCAAAGATTTGATTTTCATCATTTGGGTAAAAAAAAGCTTTCTGGAATCTTTGTTCTGTCTGACTGATCCACCATAAATCATATTTGTCTTGCAATATATTGAACTTTATTCAGCTACATTTGGGTGCTTCAAGTAAATGGGTCATGTCTTATTTTATTTTATTTTTTTGTCAGAAAGTGTTAAAGACTTGCGCTTTATGCACAAAAAATGTGTGAATTTTTTTTAAGGAAAAAACTTTTTTGCGTCCCAACTACTGGAGTGGCCTGTGTTTACCAGTTTTGGATTAAGCTTGTTATGTCCTATACTGTACTTCAGTGGTATACATGTTGCGTATACATTGTTGAGCGCATAAGACGGTACAAAGATGGTGTGAGTTGGCAATCATCATGGCAGCAAGACCTCACCCCAGAAAAAAGGGCAGGTTGTGTTGAGCGGGGGGTGGGAATAAGTTGTCGGATAAATGGTGCATTTTTCAAACAGCAGTTCAAGTTTAACTTCAGGTGCTATTATTTCCAAATTTAATTGCTTTGTTTTTGTACAGACAGCATTTAAAGTAAAAATACTCTAGATAAAAACTGCCCCCCTCTTTGATACAGTTTTTTTTTTGTATGACTAAAAAAAGTAATTTACTTGTTCAGTTCAGTGTGGAGATGTAAATGTTTATTTTTTTGAAGCTTTGTTCCTGTTGAGTGTTACGACTTTATGAAAGGTCTTCTTCCAGACTGCTCCCCTGGCCACATCTCCCAAAATGAATATAAGTATATAAATATTTACTTTGTGTAAATGTGTTTTCTTTTTCTTCTCTTAGATTATAAAAAAATGGGAATCCTGTAGCATTGTAATTATTTTGAGAAGCTTTTTTCACTTCATGTTGTGTTATTTTTCAAGAAAAATAAAGAAATGGTTAACACTTTGTATCTGATTTATTTAGCCCAAGAGTTCCTGTTGGTAAAATCTATTTGCATTTACTCTTGACTCCACCCAACATTTCTGCCTAACCTGGGAACAAAGACACTTGAAATTACATAAGTATCGTAAAGTGCTTCTAGCAGCAGCTGTCAGCGTCCCCCTGAGCTCAAGTAACCTTGATGAGAAAGTGGAAACAGACTTGGTTTTATTTTGACAGACGCTTACAAAACTGGATCCACATCATTTAAACACCAGCGGACTTTTGCAAACAACMGCTATCCGGAAAACGCCCCTTTCCCGCATCCAATTCCCGCTCGTCATCACTTCAAGCCGGACCATGCACCGGCGCATGAAAAACAAGGAGAGACTGCGATGGGAATGGGGGATGGTTGCAGCCGCACCGGGCGAACTAGCTAACTTTATCAATTGGATGTTTCATCGGTTTAGCACCTTATTTATGCCTTAAAAATGAGTGGACACAGCGGCGCGCTGTGGGTTGGTTAAAAATAGTAGTTTCCCTTCCCGCAGCATGGAAACCAGGCGCGAAGAGGAGCTGGAAACAATGTTGTTATTAGCCAGTTAGCCACCGTTAGCCGAGCTAGCTGTTAGTTACATTGAAGAAGTAAGCTGAGTTAGCCCCGGCTGTCGTGGCGTTACCGCGCTCCGTTGTTTCCCCAAGTCTTCACTAGCGTGTCTCTGTCATCGACCACCATGGCTCAGGAGGCCTTTCCTCTACATTATCTTGTGTGGAACAATCAGTACTTGGAGCTGGATCGAGAACTGCAGAAGAAAGAGGTGAGAAGTGGGAGAGGCTGGCTGGTGTTACAGATGTCGCACTGCAATGCGCTGATGCTGAATGCTTTTTTTATTTATTATAATTATTTTATTTTGTGTGTGTTTGGATGGGCAGCACGACGCGGAGCGCTTGGATCCGAGGGGACGTACCCCTCTGGAGCTGGCTGTGTGTCTGGGCCACCTGGAGTCGACCCGGGTGCTGCTCAGACACTCCTCGGACCCGACACACTGCAGCCCGCAGGGCTGGACCAGTGAGTAACGGGCTGCTTCTGCTCCCAGGGAGGGGGGGTGGTGGTGGTGGGGGCGGTGGCTTTGTTTGTTAAATGTTTGGACTTTTAGTCTTGCAGGAGGCGGTGAGCACCGGGGACCCGGAGCTGGTGCAGCTGGTGCTTCAGTACAGAGACTTTAAGAGAGCTACTGAGAGACTGGCGGGCATTCCAGAGCTGCTCAGCAAGCTAAGACAGGTAAACACACCTGAACATCTCACCACCAGATATCTGCTTTTAGGCTCTGGTTGTAGAGCTGTAAASAAAAGACCAGACATTTGTGACCCAATAAAACTACTTTCTTTGTCTCTGCAGGCACGAGACTTCTACGTGGAGATGAAGTGGGAGTTCACCAGCTGGGGTGAGTGGATTTTGAGTGACATTTTCAGCACTCCCGTAGCTGGACAGCTCCCACAGCTGTTATCTAAAGTTAGTTTTCGACACTTTCAAGAGATGCGACTGCAGGTCCAACTTTTTCTTAGATCTGTCTTTTTTAATAGCTTTGTTTTTCATATTATAATTATGGTAAATCCAACCTCTGTCAGACTCCAGCATGAACAATCCACGACCCTGAAGCCACTCAGAGAAGAAGACGTGTAGGGACTTTGATAAAACTTTCAAACTTATTTTAGAGCTGTTTTTCCTTTTCGTACTTGTAAGACTCCGTGTACAGATTCCAAAACTATTTGTTTTTTTTAATCAGACCACCCATTAAGGATGTAGAGGTCTTTAAAGGCTGAAAATTAGGAAGCAAGTGCTCCATTGACTTCCATTATAACATTAAAAAAGTGCGTAGCTCCGTAGACATGATGCGCGTCACAATTTCGCAACAATTTTTCAAACCAAAACAGAAAAGAAACTAGATAAAACCTTAACCTCTTAAGCCCCAAGGGTTTTTTTTTATGTTTTTGCTCAAAATATTATGCCGAAATGTAACTGAGTATATCTCTGCAGTTACAAACTACTTAAATAATCTTGGTATCAAAATAAAGCTAACACTTGGGAGATTTCATCAGAAGCATAAGTATTAAAACAGCTGCTGTGGTTTTAGAGATATTGGGGATGGAACGTAATAAAAAATTCACTCTCACCTGAATAATTTTTTCATTAGACTGTAAATAACCCATTTAAAACCATAATGAAGTAAACTAAAAACCTTGGAAACCATAAATCCACTTGTGGACATCACCTGTGCAAAGATTCATGCTGCTAAAGTTAACTGGAGCAGAGTCACAGAGGTTTTAGTAAAGAAATAATTTTGCATTTTGTCATTCTGCACAGGACAGACCATGATGGTACCATTAATAAATGTTAAGAAATCTGAAGTTTTTACATCCAGAAGTTATTTAATTTTTATTACCTATCTTAAAAGATTTGTTATTGAATGTTTGTTCTTTTAAAAATTATCCAAACATTTATTTGTCATCATATTCAAAAATACTTTATTGATCCCAGAGGGAAATTATAT